GATTGGTTTGGTTATCATATAATAGTGGATTGGATTGGATTAAAAATTTTACTAACCGATTAAATTGGATTGGATTAAAAAATGTTAAAATCCGAACCAAACCACACCGCGAACACCCCTACTTCTCTCTTTATGAGATTATTAGGAATGCATATATTCCTTTTCTTTTTCCTTTTCATACATATAAATCTAGGCTAAAACCAACTTTTAACTGCTAACTTTATAATATGACACTTTTAGCTCTTTACCTTACAAAATTGATAAGTTTTAACCCCTCGTTTTACAAAGTTGATAGGTTTTAACCACTCATTTTATAAAGTTGATAGATTTTAACCCCTCATCTTATATTATAACACTTTTAGCCCCTTATCTGTACGAATTGAAGAAAATAACCCTTATTTAACATCAAGTTATAATGTTTTATTAGTTATATTAGCTAACTGTCAATTCTATTAACTGACTGTTAGCATCCGTTAGCATTCCGTTAATGAAACTAACAAATAAAACTGAATTTAAATTTTATATTTTTTATAATGGAATGCTAACGGATGTTAACAGTCAACTAACAAAACTAACAAAACGTTATAACCTAATGTTAGGTGATGGCTATTTTCTTTAATTCGTATTGATGACAGGTTAAAAATATCATAATATAAGATAAGGGGTTAAAGCTTATCAACTTTGTAAAATGATGGGCTACAACTTATCAATTTTGTAAGATAAATAGCTAAAACTGTCATATTATAATGTAAGGAGGTAAAATCTACCAACTTTGTAAGGTGAGGAGTTAAATGTTGGTTTTTGCCTATAAATCTGTTCCTTCTCTCTTTCCTTTTCATACATATAAATCTGTTCCTTCTCTCTTTCCTTTTCATGCATATATACATATGTTCCTTACGTCATAAGAGATCAGTATAATTACTTCATTATCAGTGTAATTAGCTGCAATGGAGAGTGTATAGCGATTTACTGACTCACAGCTTCCATTACGCAAAGGCCAAGTAAATGCCTGTAATTGTATATGGTTCAAAATTGAAATGATAAATTATAGAACTCCTATTCTAAGCTATGGTTATGATCACACAATATAAACAACACTTTTTTACCTGATGGTTGTCTTGTTAAG